CAGTCGGTCGGCCGGTGCCGGTCCGCGCGGCTCCGGTCCCTCGGCGGGCCGCTGGGAGCGCGGATCGGGCGCTCTGGTCTCGCGGGCGCCGCCAGCACCTTTAAATCGCGCTCCTCTCTCATTCACATTTCGCCTGCTGCCCGACTGGGTTTGGGTCACATGGGGGCGTGCGCAGCCTCCCATTGGCTACGCCGCTCGCGGGCGGGGCTTCTCCGGCCCCCGCCCCTCCGCCTCCAGGCCGCCAGCGGGTGCGAGCGCAGCGGCGGAGCGCGCGGACCTGGAACCGGAGCTGCTCCTGGATCGGCCGCGCAAACTTCAGAGGGCGGTGGGCGCTCCAGGTCTCCGCCGCGGGGACGCCGCCGGAGGGCCGCTCCGGGCGCGTACTGCCACTCCCGGGCCTGGCATCTTTTCCCTTTTGCAAAGGAGCTTGCGCCAGGCGCTGGGCTCTCAGAGGCTGCTCCCAGGGTCGGGCGAAGCTTCAGATTTGGGGCGCAACGCCCCTTAGCTCAAATCCATCCCATTCTGGGCACCGGCTGCCGGGGCGCTGCTGGGAACCCGCCTGGAACCCGTGCGCTGCATCCGCACTCTGGCCCAGGTGGCGCGAGGAGGCTGCCGGCTCCCCATCCCGAGCCCAGCTTGCCCGTGAGCGGGCCCTTCTCTCATTTTTCATGACATCCTTAATCATCACACCTATTTACACACTTTGCCAGCGCGCACCAAAATAACAGCCACGATAATTATGATAATAAAGCGGGCCCTTTCTCTGCTCCCTCCTTGGGAGGGAGAGGGGGGAGGTGCTGCGCCCCCGGATTGCAGGGTGTGAGATTATCCTGATGAAAGCTTTATGATGTTTGCTCAAATAAAAGCTGCGTTTTGTAAATAGGCGCTAATTAAGCACGTTGAGAACCGAGGGAGCGGTCGCCCCGCGCCATCCGCGCGTCTGCCGGCTCGAGGGTCCCCTTTGCCGACTGCAGGACGGAATCGATCCTCTCAGGATGTTGCCCCTGCCTCGACAATGGTAAACATCCCAGAATTTGGGATCCATGGGATTTAAGGGAACCAAAGGAGTGCTCTAGTCCCGTCCCCCCCCCCCCATATAAACACTAGAAACTTTGCCCTCTGGACTTCTCTTTGCAAACGGGATGTTTTAGGGGTGAGAACAGACCCGGGCCAGCGCGCTCGCGTGCGCCGGGCGTCCACGCGCCTCCAGGGCCTGGGCTGCGACGTCCTGGGTCTGGGCGTCCGCTGGGAACGGCGACAGCCCTGCCCGGGAGGGAGCAAGGGCATTGTTCCACCGATCATTAAAAACCAGATCACGCCGAGGCGCTAGTGTTGGGGAGTCGGCCGCGTTGGCCTGTGTTATGTATCACTTACAAGCACGTTTAATTGGGAGATAAAGATAAATCGATCTTTATGAATTTATCGACCTGCTGCTTTGAAGCGCCCCTGCTCGCTCTTCCTTCTCTCGCTCCAGCCTCAAGGCCTCCCCAGGGACGTCTTAATCCCAGAAGACCTGCTCAGTCAGGAGCCCACCTAGGAGGCCCGCAGCTCGGGCGGGGGTGCGTCTACGGCGCCCCCGGGACTCAGAGCCTCCTCTCCTGCCTGCACCCGGACAAAGGCGTCGGGGCGCGCTCCCCACTCCGGCCCCGGGGATAGATGGCCTGGGCGGCAGCGGGCGCTTTGAAAGGAATTCATTAGGACGTTGCACTCCGTGCCCCGACCCGAGGAGGAGGCCGGTGAGGGGACGGGATTCCCGCCGGGCTATACAGGGAAGGACGTGTCTGTAGGGTTTCCAAGCGCTTCTGTTTCTCTCCCATTCTTGTTCCAAAAGAAGAAAAGGGGCGGGGAGAAGCCAGGGCAAAAGGCTGATATGTTTATTCCTCTCTGTCATTACGAGGTGAGGTACACTTACCTAGTCTCCAGTATCATTGCCTCGTGGCTTTGGGGGTTTAATGCTAAAAAAAACCCACAAAAAAGGCTCCCCTTGCCTGATTTGCGTGGCCCGCGCTTCATGCCTCCGACACGTGTGTTAGCTGTTGCGTAGTCTACTTCATAGGGTCGCCATTCGCAGTCTACTTCATAGGGTCGCCATTCGCTTTGCTGTTTGACTCGTAGAAGTGTTGTTCTGGGGACTCCCGTCCCCCGATTGCCATTGCCGGCGAGTGACAGGAATTCCTCTGGCTATTTTAGTGCTAGTTCTTCGTTTAAAGGTACGCCACAAGATGTGGGTCCGTTGAATTATAGCTACACTTGAAATAATTTGATGGCATATTATCTGCATCCATAAATTGCCGTAGAAAGTAGTGACTGCGGGGGTTAGAATACTAGTCTTCTTTTATTAGTGAGTTCACAGAATTCTCATCAATATGAATTTTATTTACTAGTAAGCCTTTTCTCGCATGCGATGCAGTAATATTTTCTCATCTAATGCTTAACTGCTTAGAAAACGACTGTTAGCGTCATAAAGAGATGCGTGTGTGTGGCGTGATTAACAGGACTCATTCGCCACCGCGGCTACCTGCACGGTGTCGGAGCGTGGGGACTGTCAATAATCAAGGCCCAGAGAACTTTCCCGGGACCCTCAGAGAGAGGTAGGGGCGCCCAGCACAGGTGTATCTTCTTCAGCCTTACTTGGGGTTCACCTTCTCAGCCTCTCTGCCTTCAACTGCAGAGCCCTCGCTGGCTTGGCTGGACCCATACTGGGGGGTGGCCACTCACCACGATCTTTGCCATTTTGCCCGAGTGTCCCCGACCTCCGCACCCCTCTTAGGAAAAGTAGAGGAGACGGCCTGAGGGGAAGCCGGGTCCCCAACTCCAGCTAACTTCCCGGAGCTGTCTGCCCTCCTGCCGGGGTGACGCTGGCCCAGCTCCTGAGGTCTGTGCCAAGCTGGGTATTCAGCTCCACTTAAAACCTCAGATGTCAGTAAAAGTGATGCTAATTAAGTTGTCTGCGCTCGCGGGCTGTCCCTTCAGTGGTGGCATGCAGGTGTGGGAGAGCCGCGTGTCAATGTGGAACGCACGCGGAAATGCATATTCATGCCCGGAGGTGGGAGCTCGGAGAGCTGTGCGGCTCCTCGTCGCCCCTCCGCGCCCGAGTCCAGGTCCCGGGTGGCGGTGGACAGAGGCGCCCGTGGGCGCCCCGGGTCGCTGACGGCGCCTGGAGGCTTGAGGGCCTCGCGCGCCAGTCTCCGGCTCCAGGCTGGTTTCTCCGGCAACCGGGTTGTTTTTATTTATCGGGATTTTGAGTGGCCTGATCATTTGGTCATTGCCTCAGCTCTTGCTCCGGGCAATAGTTGGGAAATAGCTTGGGATGGGTTTTATTTATGGAAGGGCAATTTGGATTCACACCCAGCTCACACAGGAGGGTCCCTCCCGAGCCCAAAGCGCATTTACAAAGGGGTGCTTGTGCAAAACTCCCCCATCAGACACACCAATTTGCAAGTAGCAGAATGCATTGAAGCCTCATCTTTTTAAACTATTTTATTCAGACCTTTTTTAAAATCTGAAAGCCCAAAATAGGCTCCATGTGGCTCTAAGAGAAGTCAGGCCTTGGCTAGCTTTGAAATAGCTCCTGCAATTATGTAAAAGAGCTATTCACAACAGGGCGGAATTAAAAGGGATCTCGCCCGCTTCCCTTTCATTGCCAACCTCTCGTGTTTGGCTTTTCAAAGCACTTCCAACACGATGTCTTTCTCCAGGACAAAAGGCAGAACAAAAAAACTCCCCAAACTTGTAAATTGAACGTCAAGGGAACTTTAAACAATTTAAAGCCCATAAATAATGATAAAGGGGCCTGGCAAAAAGGCAAACCCATTCAATTAATAGAGTTTCCCAAGCAAAGATCAAGTGGTTTATAAAATAAAAGTCTTTGGTTTCATTCTTCTGCTCCTCGGCCGCGCAGAAAGTCCAACAAGGGGGTTTCTAAAGCCCCTAAAGAAATACTTTGCAAGACTCTGTGTGCGCTCCACATTCTTATGGAGAAAGTTTTGCTTTTTTGTTCCCCACCCTCAAAGTCATAGAAGCAAAAAACAGCCGCGCACCAGGGACTTGAGGAGGAGCAGATTTTTTTTTTTCCACCTTTCTCTTGGGGCACTGGGAACTTCTCTGCAGGCCCAGACCAGAAACCAGGCCCTTGACATCCGCGCGGCCCTCCCACCCCAGCGCTCCAGCTGACAGACCCAGGGGGGGCCTCATAGGATCTGGGGTGCAAGGTTTCCAGTCCCCCGATGGAGCAGTATCCAGTTCAAGGGTCCTGGTCCATGCCAGGGTGGGGGAGAGGGTGGGGGGGTGGGCTCCTGGGGTTGCGGGTACAGGCGTCGGAGGGCACAGAGACTTGGGGGGTGTCCTGCTTCCTTTTCTGAAGACCCCCCCAGTGCTGGGGCGGAGATCTCAGGACGAGGGGGGACTGCCGGCCTGGCGCCTTCGCCCTCAACGACTCATGCTTATGGCTCATGCGACCCACACACATCCCCAGGGGTTCCTGGTGGGTCTGCCGGGACCCCAGGGCTCCGGGACAGAAAGATGGAATCTGAGGCAGAAATTGTCCCTGGGACCTGGACCCAAGGGGTGCAGAGGAAGCCTCGCAAGGCGAAGGGGTCTGATGGTGGTGTTCACAGTTGCCCCGCGGTGAAGGACTCAAGGTGGCGTCCGGGCGGTGGGGAAGGAGGGTGAGCAGGCCTCAGGGCGCCCCTCTGTGGGCCTTCTTTCTCTCCCATCAACTTCCCTGGATCTGGAGGCCCCACCTTGGGGGACTTCAATCACACCCTGCTACCCTGGGCCTGCCTTTCATCTCCTCGAACAGCGGCCATTGTTTGCAGGACTTCACAGAGATGCTAATCTCAGGCTTTGGGCAGAGGGCACTGAGGGGTTAGGGGGTGCGGCCAGGTCAGGAGCTTGGGGAGCCACCTCCACTGCCGTCCACGCAGCCCACCGTCTTCTTGTGTTGGAAGTTGGCCCCTTGTGAGGGACGCACATGGGCACAGCTAGAACCCCAAGAACGCTGAAGCAGGACCCGCGGCTGGTGGCATGACCCAACTGTGGACCCAACTTCGGGTCCTCAAGTTCCAGCGCCCCGGAAAAGACCAGGTGTCTCAGAGGCCAAGGTTTGGGGAGGCAAGGCCTGGAGCCTTTCCAAACCAGCCCCTGCCATCTAGCGTCTGCCCCCAGCAGGGCTGCTGACCTTTTAAGAGGACTGGCTTTGCCGCCAATGCACTTCCTTAACCCTTTAGAAACCACGCTGGGACCCAGAGGTGTTTGGATCTGCGGTTAATCTGAGCAGGAAAGAGGCACACACTTTAACCCAATGAAAAACATGGGTTGTTTTTGGAGAGAGCACTCAGAAACACGGCGGGGAGGGGAGCTGTGATCCTGGGCCTCTCTCCTCTCACTGTTAAACTCGACCAGCAAGGCTGTGCAAGAGAAGGTCGGGTGTGAGTGGAGGGAGAGGCTGGCTGCACAGGGAAGGAGACCCAAGTGCGCCTGCGTCCTGCAGTGGGCAAGGGCCTGGAATTCCTGGCAGGAGGGTGGTTTCATACTAAGCTGTTTGAAGAGCAAACTCTCTGGGAAACTTAGGCGGGAGTGCCTGGGCCGGACAGGCCAGCCTTCTGGGGAGCCTTTGTCCAGTCCCTCCTGAATCACATGGACCTCGGGTGTTAGAGAAAGCAACTGTGATCACCAGACCTTTCTTCTGCAGTACTGACCACTGGGCGTGTCCCAAAGGCCAAACTTTAGGCTAGCAGCAGGGTGCCAACTGTTAGCATCAACCAGGGACTGTGCTGGGAAGACCACCTGAAAATGATACTTTTCAAGGAGGAGCTAGGAAGGGTGAACAAAGAAAGGAAGACAGCCCAAGATGCCAGGCCTCTTCCCAAGAGAAAAGCACCTGGAAACAGAAGGCCTTGCTCCTTGAAACACTGGACTCCCTTTCACCCTGAGCAGCTCCCTAGGAGAGTCTTGGACTTGTTTGGGGATGTGAAAGACACCCCCCCCCCCCGCACACCACACATACACCAGAGCCCAGGAGAAGGCAGAGGGCATGGAGGAAAGCTGACCCCAGACTGAGCTTAGTGGGCTCACGGTTTTCTCCAGACCCCAGAAGGAGAACCCAGGAGGCCACCTGTATTGACCAGGCATGGGACATCTGTCATAGCTAGATCCCACACTCTTGCTCACCCTCACCACTCCCCATCGGGACCCCAGGCCCTGAAGGGATCAGGAGACCCTAGAAAGTATCAGCGAATCTTCACATCACCTCAGCCTCTGGCTCCCCAGTGCACAGCCCTTCCTGGTGGGGATGGAAGGTTGGCCTTTGAAATGGAAGAACAGCGCATACAGCCACCTGCTTGTCATCAGAGAAAAATGTGGAAAACTAATTTGCATGACTTTGGGGTGCAAACAATGACCTCTCCCTTGTGGGCGTGTCTTGAAATGACCATTGTTTAAGGAAAGAAGGGAGCCGCCACATGCTCAGAGGGCCTGAGGGCCCGAGAATTCCCGTTGGGATCCACTTCCGTTCACTGTAGATAACGGGCAGCACAGTCCGGCAGGGGAGCTGTGAAAGGCAAAGTCCAGGAAGTCCTCAGAGTCTGTCCCTGGTGCCTTCCTAGAGGTCACTGGTAGGTTTCAGAGGATCTGAGAGACAGTGTATGTTTTGCTGTGGTCTGATGAGTGTATGATGTGTGTCTTATGTGTGTTGTGTGTATGTACGTGTGACACGGAGTGGGATGTGTGTGATGTGTGTGTGATTTGCTGTGGTCTGGTGTGTGATGTGTGTGTGGTGTGTTATGTATGTGGTGTGTGTACATGTCTGTGATATGTGGAGTGTGATGTGTGGAGATCTGTGTTTGGGAAGGATGGACATGCTTTGAAGGTGTCCATCCTCTCTAGGATTTATTCTACACGTTGGTACACGTCACATGTCCCTGTGCAGGTGGGTGTCATGCACGCCCAACAGACCCTTCACACCTCACACCTGGATGAGGGGCAAAAGTCAAATACACAGCTCACCCCAAGGGCCAGAAGAAAGAGGGCCCACAGCTGAGATAACAAAGGCCCTGCTGAGGACCACAGAGGGGCCTCCTGCAGGCTTCTCCCTCTGAGGCTCCTGCCCAGGTCCTGGGTGCTGGGCTCTGCTGGGATGGAAATCGAGCCAGCACCCAGCACCGATCCTGCATCACCGCGCGCAGCAGGATAAACCTCCCGGTCCTTAGTGGTCCTGTCCATGCAGCCTCCAAAGCAGCAAAGTGGATCAACACTTGGAAGGTGAATGCTCATGGAGCCCAGCAAGAGTCGTCAGGAGGCAGCATCACAAAGACTGTGACCTGCATCAGTCACACCTTAGTCTTTAAACAGATATCTATGCTCTTTAAAACTTCGGCGAGGTCCCTGACAGCAGATTTTTCCACAGCAACATGCCTTTTGATTTCTTCACTGCTGGTACCATGGTGTTGACTGTGCATCCAAGCAAAATGAAAGAATGTTGTTGTTGTTGTTATTGCATACTGTAGAGTTGGAACCAACTCATAGCTGAACCTCCAGTGGGTTTTCAGAGGCAACAAACCACACAGGAGCAGAGTGTCCATTTTTTCTCCTGTGGAGCAGCTGGTGGATTTGAACTACCTGCCTTTGTGTTGGGAGGGCAACTTCTTAGCACTGGCAGCACTAGAACATCTTAAAATGGAAGAATAAACTTCAATCTTTTCTCCATTTACCATGATGATGTCTGTTGGTCTTGTGATGAAGATTTTTGTTTTCTTGGTGTTGAGATGTAACCTGTACTGAAGGCTGTTGTCTTTGATCTGCAGTAAATCTTCACCTTATGCAGGCAGGGCAGTGTCATCAGCATAATAGAGGTTGTTGATGAGTCTTCCTTCAATCCTGATGCCATGTTCTTCTTTTCAGAGTCCGGCTTCTAGAACGATTTGCTCAGTGTACAGATTGAATATCACGATACCCTAATTTTTTTTTCTTAGTTCTCTTCACCCCCTCTCCCAGTTCTCAAGTTTCTTGCAGGAAATGGCTTGTTTTGTATGTAGCTTTTTTGGCACTTAAACGGGGGTGGAGTGGAGTGGGGGAGACAAGCACAACCTAACAAAATAAAACTGGAACAAATGAAGTTCATAAGGCAGGAGAGAGGCTTCTAAGGCAGTCTGAAGGCGCTGCTTCCTTCTAGCAGAAAAATGCTTCCCATTTAGTCCATCCAGGGCTTTGAAAATGTGTATTTTCAAAAGTAATGAACTGGGTAATTTATTGCACAAGCCAGTGTTTTAAAATTTAATTTTCTTTTAATAATCTAATGTGATTTGTTTTATATTTGTAAACAGAACCAGGTATGACTGCTGTAATGGATTTAGTAGGAAATGCAGCTGCACTGAGCTTGGACTTCTGCAAACAAGGCGGGTGCGCCCGGCCGGAGCGCCCCCCGCGGACCGTGGGGGTAATGACATGGGCCTGAGGCCTTGGGAGGCTGCAGGTGGGAAGAGGTGTCCGGATGGATGTGTGGGCGCAGTTCTCTGCCTGCGGGGAACTGAGGGCTGCGACCTTTCATGCTTCGAGTTGGGGGGAAAGCGTGCCAATTTCTCTTCATTATAACCGTCTGGGCCACGAGGGGATTTCGATTCCGCTGTGACTGAGGAAGGTAGTGAGACTCAGGATGGAATTTGGGGTGTGAAATGGAAAGGCCCCTCCGGTGCTCTTGACAGTCCACGCCAGGGTGTCTGGCTCTCTAACCCGCCCCGAGCAGGACCTGGAAGTGAGAGGCCCAGAACTCTGGCATCTTCTCAGGGCGCCCTGGGCGCACAACTCTCCTCGCTAGACCTCAGTGGCTTCATCTGAGATATGGGCACAAACGCGGCCATTTCCTCCCATCAGCGGCCTGACCTTTTCCCTTAAAGAGGGAGGTCACAGAGCGCTTATGTCACGGTTGTGACAGGAGCGGAGCTGGACCGGGCACTGTAGACCTGGCACAGCTCCAGGGGCCTAAGTTGTGACTGACTGTGCCCCTTCTCCTCCCGGCTGCAGGGTGAGGACAGGGACGCCGGTGCACGTTCCACGCTGTCCAGGATAGTGGACCCGCACACAAGCAGCCAAAGTGAGCGGGGCGCAGCTTGGCGTCGGACCTCTCCAGAGCCAGGTCCCCCCCCCCCCGGTCCCCCCGGAACCCCCCGGTGCCTGTGCCGCAGAGCCGGGTCCGATCTCGACAAAACCCAGTTGGCATCGGTCCCAGGGAGGCAATTTTGATGCCACCTCATATGATTTTGCTTTAAATAAACACGTCCGTACTCCATTTATGTGTTAAAACAAAGAGGTGGGGCTCAGCGCCCCTGCTCCTGCCCAGAACCCGGGTCGGGCTTCGAACCCGGCTGGGGCTGGAGGAGGAGGCGGGCCGAGCAGGAGGCGGGCCAGGCTGCAGGCCTTGGGGACCCACGCCGCGTGCGCCCCTGTCCGGGCTGCGCGCTCCCCACCGCGGGACCCCGCTCGAGGGCGCCCCTGGGGGCCGCGGCGGGGATCGGCGAGACGGGAGGGTCTCGGCTCCGAGTCCCCGCGGGCTCATCCCCGCTCTCCCGGACTCGGGGAGTCGTTGCGCAGCGGGGCTTCGTTCCCTCGAGCCTTGCCCGCCTCCCGGCGTTTTGATGTCTTTTTTGTTTGGAAAGGAGCAGCCCGCTTTCCCCGCAGCCCGGCTACTCGGTTACGCGCCTTCCCACGTTTCCTCTTAACGCATTTCCATCCAGTAAATATGCTCCAGCAAGTAGCTAATTTCGCAGCCTGTGCTTCGCCATTTGCATAGAAAGCGAGTGGGGGCCGGCCCAACCTGGGGTGCGCGCCCCCTCTCATGGGGACCCCGGCTTGGCCCCGGTGGGCGGAGGTCGGTCCGCTGGTCGGCTGACCTGGCCGGGAGGGGGTCCTCGAGCGCACGGGTCCCCTGGGCGGGCGGGGCCGCTGGGGCGACCTCCTTCAGTGCCCGCTGGTGCCCGGTGTCCCCGGGTCAGAGGGCCACCGTCCCTCCAAGTCGCTCCGGTCCCGAGTCTGCAGTGCAGACATTAAAGAGTAGTATTTTTCAATTAGAGCTGACGAATTCAATCAAAATTCCATAGATTAGGATGAAATGAGGCATGGGTCATTTGCAGGGGAATTTAATTGCCGAGCCATTAGACAAATAGTATATTTGCCATTCGCGCGCGATCCATCATTTTCGACATCAATACCGGAGCCGTGCGCCCGGCCCGCAGCCGCGCGTCGCCGTAAACACTCCCTTCCCGAACCCTCTGATTGTATCTGATTTCATTTAGGGCCATGGGGATTATAAATGCTCACACAATCAAGTTCATTAGGACTCGAAATCGCATTTCTGATTGGGATTGCTCAGCCGCTGTCCTCCGTGCGCCTTTCAAACCCCAGGACGAGGCTTCTGGAAACCTCATTTGGAGAGGCGAGCGCTCGCTCGCGCTGTCTTCTGTCGCCCCCTCCCGCCTCTCCCCGCTCGCCGCAGCTCTGCGCTCCCTGTCTCCTCTCGGGGAGCAGACCTGAACCCCATCCTCTCCGAGAGCAAGGCTGAGGGAGGGTGGGGCTGGACTCCAGCGCCCCTGCAGCTAGGTGAGGGTTCCCTAGGACAGGAGGCTGGGCCGCGCCCCACAGCGACTCCACTTGAGGTGACCGGCACCCCCAAGGCTTATGCGAGGGAGCCCAGTACAGGCCTCATATTCCTCACCTCAGTTGGGCGCTGGACGCCCAACCCCTGGGGGACTGCTGGGCTCCCAGGACCCCAAGATCTGCAGCCAGTGGTGGGGGAGAAACCAGGATAAGGGGGGTGCCAACCTCACTCCTGCTCCCCCACCTGGACACCATGAGGGACGAGGTCAGTGATGGGGCCTAAGCCTGAGGCAAATTATGGGATCCCCTTAAAGCCAAAGCTGGAATTGGAGGGACCCAGCGGCGCAACACTCTCTTCTTGTTAATAACCCCGAGCAAAGGAGCACAAACTCAGGACACCTCCTCCAGCGCCGGAGAAAAATAACGGCTTCCTATTAACTGCTCCTCATAAAAAGAAGACGTTCGCAGAGACACACGTTCGAGAAGAAACCCCTCATCTTAGGCTCGGACTTTGCGCCCATCGCCGTTAGCTGCCTCAGTAATTTAATTGGAATGAAACGTGAGAAATGTGTCATTTTTGAAAAATTTATGCATCGCTTCCTGGGAATCTCATCGTGTTAACTAGGAACCCACTGCGTCCTGTTTAGAACCCATAATCACATTTTTATGTGTCTGTATTACGAGGTAATGTGACCTCCTGTCTGTGGATTAAAAAAAAAAAAGTCCTCTGTTCATAACATCTGTATTAAATTCTGGCTTGTGTAAAATCTGCTGGAACCGGCTCCCCTCCACCCCCAATGTTATCCAAACTTCTCAAGTTTGCTCAGTCAAGGAAAAATAAACATGAATGGGGAAAGTGCCTAGCAAATGAATAATTACACAGCGAATTAAAACCCCGCGTTAAACTTAGTCGGCAGCAAATACTGCGTTCTCAATCATGTTTATTGCTTACAAATTGCATTACAAAGGAATCTACTCTTTTTATTGGAGTGATTAAGCAAAGAGTGTTAGGCCTGCAGAAAGAACATTCTGGAAGATGAGCTGAAGACTGGAAATCCGTAGCAATGGGAAATGTGTAATTTTGTGAAAGAACACAACACCCAAATGAGAATTGGGCTGTCATTACCGCCTCATAAAAGAGTCAACTTAAAATTGTATTTATCTGTCAACACATTGCCTATAAAAGGAGCATATTTAATACCAAGGAAGCAGGCACTTCCATAATCAATATTTTAATTACGGGGTTTTATTAGAGCCGCACAGCTCTCCATGACCCACTGGACAAACGTCTGGTCTCCCTGCCCTTGCATATGCTTCGCTTTACCGTATGAGCAAAAAGGTTCCTATTTTCTCCCTTCATTTCTGGGAGAGGCAGCTGGTGGATGGAGTCGTTTGCTGATGGCGCCACCTGCAGGAATGAATCTCAATGCTGCACTTGGTAGCTGGACCCAAGGATGATTTGAAACTTAATGAAGTACTTCTCTTTTCTTAACACAGGAGGATATTGATTTTAAGGCAAATCCTGGAGCTTGAAAAAAAATTCCGATATTAAATATCTAGAACTAAAGTGGGGCAGCCCTTGTTTGGGGCGCTCTGCGATATTACACCTCACAGACACTGCTCTGTGAAACACACTGAAGGCCAGTGGCCACCCCGCCTCACTCCTGTCTCTCTGTACTGTTTCCCTCACAGCATTGTATCTGTATCCCACGTCACCGTTCTCACACCATCTCAAGCTCCTCCAGCATCACACTTCATAGGCTACAGTTACAGGGCCAACAGAGCTTTCATATGCATTGGGAAACCAAAAAAATTAATGCATGTGCCTTGCTTTTTTTGTAGTATCCTCTTGATTAGCGTGGTCTGGAACTAAGCTGCAGTGTCTTCTAGGTTGGCTTCCGTCTGTAGTACTGATGAGAGTCAAAAGTTTGGGACTGCAGACTCTCCCAACTGCCCTTAGCAAATTTGATGTAAGAAAGAATCTATCTCTGAAACAGCCCTGCCCTACCGTTGGGTCCTGGGCAGCGCCCTCAAGATGAAAGCCCTGGGTGAATATATAGGAGCCTATGCATAGCGATGACTGAGCATCTTAGATGCAAACCTGGTCTGGAGGAGGCTGTGGCGGAGAAGACCAGCTCACTCCTCAGACCTGCATTTCACACTGTGCTTCAGAGGACCATGTTTCTCCGTGGCCGTAACAACAGCCTGTGTATCTGCTGGGGCTCAAAAGGACCCTTTCAAGGGTTGGAAACCTGACAATGATTCATGGTTACTGAGATAACAAATATGTCTTAGACTCAACGAGTCACTGAACTGATGATTACCAAGTGACTTAAAATTGATAAAGAGCTAAAAAGGGGACTTTTATTGGCTCTCATTTATATGAAATATATAGGGTGGGTGAATGTGTGGGTGCCAGTGGGCTTGGGGTGGGAGGAAGGGGCAGGGAGAATTGCTGTTTAGGAGACCCTGACTTTCTGTTAAGGTTGGCACAGTTTGGCCGTGGATGGAGGCAATGATTGTGGCTGTCTGTTGTCAGTCCTAACCCCTCTGCCTTTGGCTACGCTCTCATTTGAGAATGGGTTATCTTCATGGTGTTGAGGCAGGATTAGTGCAGGGTATGTCTTACGTGATTTTTTTAAAAGTATTTTTGTGCGTGTACCGTCAAATCAGATCTGACTGGTACAGGAGGAGATTGCCCCTCCTTCTCCAGCAGAGCATCTGTGGATTTGAGCCACAAACCTCTGACGTTGCAGTTGCAGCTTCTTGCCACTAGGCCACCAGAGCTCCCTACATGATTTATTTTATTTTATTTTATTTTTTATTTTTTTTGAGATGTGTTGCTATGTGTCACTAAGTCAGAACCAAGGGTGACCCTCCAGGGGATTTTCAGAGATAGTCAATCATCTTTCTCCCATGGAGCAGCTGGTGGATTTGAACCGTGTGCCTTTCTTTGGGTTGACAGAATAGCGCCTTACACTATGCTACCAGAACTCCCTCTGTATTTAACTTCTTTGGGATATAGAAGAGGTTGAACAATTGAGCAGAGGAGATATGGGGTGAGAGCAATGTCAAGGCCCAGGGAGATGTCCAAGGAACAGGAACCAGAAGCGGAGGAGACACTGACCTTCCTCCAGAGCCTGCACAGCTCTGAATCCCGACTTCTGGCCTTGGACTTGGGGCATGTTGTCAGGAGGAATCAGTTCTTGGGAAAAGACATTCAGTGCAAGTCGAGGGGTCAGGGAGAGGAAGACCTTCGACAGGATGGATTGGGCACAATGACTGGAATGTTGGACTTGAACACCTCAGAGGTGATGAGGGCGGGGCTCAGAGCTGTTGTCCATAGGGTCTCTATGAGTCGTAGCCGACTTGATGGCCTCGAACAACATCAGCCTTTTAAATTATGAAATCCTGACCTGGGGCTGCTCCCAAGGCCTGGGGCATCGCAGTGGTGAGCTTGGTGCAGGAGCACACTGGGCTTCTTTCTGTTGTACGTGGAGCCTTCTTGACAGCACCCACCAGTCAGAAAATACATTGCCATTGGGCTTCCCCACGGTGGGACTTCGATTGGTGTAGCACTAGGTATCTAAAACCATTGCACAACACAATGGAGGTGATAAATGCTGCTGGACTGTGTATGCAAACACCGAGGACATGACCAATGTTTTGTCATACAGCTTTGTGCCACCGTAAAGCTGAAAGGGCACAAGTGTGTGAAACAATAAACAAAAGGATAAAATATGATTCAGATGTCAGAAGGCTACACATTCACTCTTCAGAGACGCGGATGTGACTGTGTGTGTGTGTGTGTGTGTGTGTGTGTGTGTGTGTGTGTGTATCCCGGTTGGCAGCAGTTCCCAGAGCAGGAAGAAGGAGGGAGAATGGGCCGTTGTTGAGGGGACACTGAGGTATTCAGGTGACAGGAGAATTTGGAGCTGATAGTGGTGATGGCTGCACAGCTTGGTCAATGATCGCCACCCGTCACTCAGCTGGCCAGGTAACAAACGCTGGAATGGCCAGTAGACACATGTTGTTGTTATGTGCCATTGAGTCGGAACCAGCTCCCGGTGGCTTTTCAGAGGCAGTAGAGATGGATTCAGTGACTGGGGTAATGGGAGTAGGTGTGTCAGGGACAATAAGGTGGGGCCAGAATGGAGCAGGTTTAGGACTCTTGTATGAGTTGCAGGTGACTCGACGGCACATAACATAAACAACAACAAACGCCACTGAAATTGAGGTTGTTGATGACTTCAGTTTGCTTGGTTCCACAATCAACATTCTTGGAACCAAGCAGTCAAGAAATCAAAAGGCGGAATTGCATTGGGAAAGTCTGCTGTCAGAGACCTCTCTAGAGTCCTGAGAAGCAACGATGCCAATCTGGAGACTAAGGTGCGACTGATCCAGGTCATGGTCTTAGCAATTACTTGCTATGCATCGGAGAGCTGAAAAAATAACTAGGGATGATGAAAGAAGGATCGATGCCTTTGAGTTGTGGTGCTGGAGAAGAGTGTTGAACATATTGTGGACTGCCAGGAGAACAAACAGGTCTGCCCTGGAGAGGGTGAAACCAGTTTGCTCCCTGGTGGCAAGGATTTTGAAGCTCTGTCTCACATACTTTGGGCATATGGCCAGGAAGGACCAGTTCTTAGAGAGGGTATCATGCTTGGAAGGGTGGAGGGACAGTGCAGGAGAGGAAGACCCTGGGTGAGATGGGCTGACTCAGTGACTGGAGCAATAGGATTAGGTCTGTCAGATACGGTAAGATTGGTGCAGGACAGGGCACCTTTCAGGGCTAAGGTACATAGTGTCGCTGTGAGTCACAGGCAACTCCAAGGCATATCCCTGTAACAACCACCATCAACAACATCAACTGCATGAGAAGAGATTACTCATCTTCCTCCTGGTGAGCAACTGGTGTATTTGAACCACCTCCCTTTGGGTTGGCAGCACAACTCCTTACCTCTAGGTCACCAGAGCTCCACAGACGCTTGTGTATAAAATATAGTAGGACCGCAGCAATGGGCTCAAGTGTTTCAGAGACAATGAGGACCGCACAGGAGGGGGCGGGATTCAGGTCTTCAGATCTGTTGCTCATTGGGTCTCTGTTGTACTCGATGGCATCGAACAACAATGCCCTAACTCACGTAGACTAGACACAGTCATGTTTTTTTCTGCGAATTTTTTCTTAGTACTTACTTTCTGCAAAATGGTCAAAGAAATTGATCCCATCTGATGATAAAGGTTGACTTGAATAATCCCACTGGTCTGTTTGCCCCCAGCTGACCACGGGCACGTTTGGGAAAGAGTGTTCAGGTCATGTTGACAGCCAGTTGTACTACGATGACCCAACACTAGTGTTGAAAAAGAAACATTTAAAGAAAAAATCCTAGTGTCGAGGACCAATTTATCTCTCGCTCATTGAGCTGCTCTGCAGGAGGAAGGGGGAGAATCCCCTTCTGTGTAATTTCCAGCCCCTGAAAGCCCGCTGGAGGGTCAGCTATGAGTCAGTTCCCATTCAGTGACCACACAACAGTTTCGCAGACGCGCGGTCCCCTTTTGCTGGGCCAGCATAGAAGAGTCTTGATTGCTGGAGCGTCAGTTTACTTTGCGGTCACTGCTGTCCTTGGTCCACGTGGATCATGCGTGCTTTGCTGAAGGGAGTGGATGTTATATTCCATCTACAACAGACATGGTGTGACTAGGACACTGGATTCTATACACAACCAGTAATGATGTTTCCAGGACACTGTGTTCCATAGACAACTAGATTTGGTGTGTTTAGACACTGCATTCCACATCAACTAGTCATGGCATTAAGTAGGGCGCTGAATTCTGTATACAACTAGGGCACTGTATTCCATACGTAACTGGGTACAGTGTTGGTTTGGACACTGGATCCTATCTATAGCCGGATGCTAACATAAGATACTATGTTCTGAATACGGCTAGATATGTGTTGACTGGGACACTGAAGTCCATCTACAACTGGACATGGTGTTGACTAGGACCCTGTATTCTATATAAACTAGACGTGGTGCTGATTGTGCTTGTTAAGTGCCGCTGAGTCGAGTACAACAGTTAGCAACCCTCTGAACATACCTGAGCCCTGTCCCATCCTGTCCCATCCTCATCTCTGACACACTTGTACCCATCGCTGCGGTCACTGTCAGTCCATCGGTGGAGGGTCGTCCTCTCTTTCACTGACCCCTTTCTAAGCATGGTGGGTTGCTTAAGGCACTGTGTTTTATATACTGTGTTTTAGACTCGGTATTGATTTGACGAAGGAGGGCTGAGTGAGGGCTCATCATTGAAGCCACCTGGTTGCCTGTGGAAGTCAGTTACAGCGACGGTCAGAGAAACCACAGCTCGTGCAAGCAGCCGTCTGCCCTGGATGTAGCTGTCCTCAGCCAGCACAGGGGCAGCTGGAGAAGGGGGGGGGGGGGGGGGGGAGCCTCTCCTGTCTCCTCGGGGTGCCCGAGGCTCCCCTGCCTTCTCTGACTTGTCATCCTCATTTGCTTGCTGCAGGTTCTTCCCGGAGGCAGGTGGTGAGGATGGACTTTATCATCGGGACGAGGCCTGGCCTCACAGGCACCCAACTAGGACGGCTAAGTGAGGGGACAGAGAGCAGGGTGCAGGAGTGAATGGTTTATCCCTGAGGAATTTCCTCCATTCGATCGTCCGCAGAGCATCCGAGTCTCAAAAGTAAATTCTTGGGGTTGAAAACAATGAAAAGAAACAAATGGTTCCAGGGAGTTTCTACATTAAATCAGACTAGGAGAAAGGCTGGTGACCGACCCCTCAGGCCAGCCAGTGGGTCCCTGTGGGCCACGCTGTCCCAACTCTCATGATGGGTGGAGGCTACACGGCCGGGCAGTTTTGTTTCACTGTGCATGGGGTCACCAGGAGTTAGGGGCTGGCTTGATGGCAGCTAAGAGGACAACACTGTGTTCATAGCTTTTCTCTTCTTCACTTAACAGCGAGAAGCAAACAAGCCTCACGTGATAAAGAACTGTTGCCAGGATCCTCCCCTCAGCGGGCTGGCGCCCAAGACCCTGCGGTTGCTCCAGAAGCAGGTTTGTCACCACATTTGTCAGAAAGCCAAACTCCCGGTCCCCTGAGACCTCCAGAGGCCAGATCCACACTTCAGCCAGATCCCAGGAGCCCTGTCTTGGCTGTCCTGTATGAGTGGAGCGGGGAGAGGTCCTGGGGCGCCCGCCTTCCACTAACTGCACTAGAACTCAGAGAAGTACTTGCCCCTTTGTTCCTCCAGTGCTGGGCGGAAGGCCCCCTGCGGTGTGCTGCGGACTCTGTGGTCACTCCCAGTGTGTTGCATGCCTCTCTAGGACAAAGCAGTCCACTCCTGTGGAGTCCCACTGTGGCCACGCTGTCCATCATGTCTCTGCCTCCGCAGGAAGTCCACAGCCCTCCCAGCTTGCCTCCCACCCCACCACCCTTCATTCCTTCTAGTTCCCAAAGCTCCAGGACCCTCCTCATTCAGGCGCCTGGATCACTGTGTCCCCCCCACCCCTGACCTCCCCTGCACCCCTGCCTCCCTTCGGGTTTCCTTTTCCCTCACTGGCACCCTGGGATGTCCACTTGGGGAGGGGCTGGGGAGTCAGAACGGACTCAGAGCTGACCTCCTGCAGGTTTCCAAGGCTGCAGGTCACATGGGAGGAGGCGGCCCAGCCTTCTCCTGGTAGCAGCTGGTGCATCCGAACCGCAGAGGCACCGCCTGTGTGTGGGCAGTGCAGCTTCCTGCAGACCCGCCTCCGCGCACCCTCCGATGCAGTTGTCTGGTGCTGTGTGATTTACTGCCTCTGAAAACCCGCTGGAGGCTCAGCTAAGGATCCGTTCCGACTCAGTGCTCCACACAACACGTGAGTGTGCTGTACGATGTGGAGAATGACGAAGATGTTTCTAGAATGACTAGGAAGCGAGGCAGAGGCACTAGGTGAGCACGTGCTGTTGGCAAAGGGACACACTTGCATGATGCAGGGCCCCCCCCCAGCCTTCCAACCCAGAGAAAGGACAGTGTCTGCTAGGGACAAGGACGGTGACATGAAGCACAATACCTGTCCTAGGGGTCACCGCACAAGTGACCTTGACCTTTTATTACAAATTCCATGTGAAGGTGAGCCAGAGATGAGGGCGCTGCATGCTCCTCCCCCAGTGGTGGGAGTGTAAGGGGCAGAGGGCCCCCCCTCAGCCCTCCCTGGGGGGGGCTCTGGGGACAAGGCTGGGAGTGAGAACAGGTGCCGTTCACAGGGACCTGGCTCTCAGCGCAGAAGCCCCTCGGGCTCCAGGAGCAGATAGTCACGCAGGGCCTTTGGCAAGGGCAGGCGCGGCACCAGGAGGGAGCACTTCTTCCCGAGCAGCTTGCGGATGGCACAGCGACTCTGATGCTGCAGACAGCGGGGCGTGCTGGCCAGGGCGAAGAGCGACTGGTAGAAAGGCTGGTGCATCTGGAAGGGAAGCGTTGGCGCGTGAGATGGCACGAAGGGTGGGGGCGCAGATGGACGTCTCTGCCCACTCACTCAGGGTCCCTGATCACACAGGTTGCTGTTGTCATTAAGTACCATCAGGTTTAAAAAAAAAGTACCATCAGGATGGATGGTGAAAAGATTGAGATTGTTCACAGCTTCAGTTTGCTCGGCTCCACAGTCAACACTCTCGGCACCAGCAGCCAGGAAATTAGAAGATGTATTGTGATGGGAAAGTCTGCTGTTAGGGACCTCTCTAAAGTACTCAAGAGCAACGGTGTCTCTTTGGAGACTAAGGTGCATCTGATACAGGCCATGGTCTTTGCTATCACTTGTTATGCATCAGAGAGTTGGACAATGACTAAGGAGGATAGAAGGAGAATTGATGCCTTTGAGCTGTGGTGCTAGAGAAGAGTATTGAGAATACCATGGACTGCTAGGAAAACAAACAGATTCATCCTGGAAAGGGTCAAACCGGGCTGCTCCTTGGAGGCAACGATTCTAACGCTCCGTCTAACATACTTTGGACATGTTGTAAGGAGGGACAGGTCCTTGGAGAGGGACATCATGCTTGGGAGGGTGGAGGGACAGCACAGGAGAGGAAGGCCCTCTATGAGGTGGATTGATTCAGTGACTGGGATAATCGGGATGGGAGTGTCAGAGACAGTGCGATTGGCACAGGACAGGGCAGAGCTTAGGGCTGTTGTACATAGGGTTGCTATGAGTCACAAGCGACTCGATGGCACATAACAACAACAACAACCACCATCAGGTTGGAAGTGATCCATAGCTGACCCTCCAGTGGGTTTTCAGAGGCAGTAAATCACACGGGAGGAGCAGCTGGTGGATTCGAACTGTATACCTTTGTCCTGGCAGTGTAATTCCTTACCACTCCCTGTGGCCGCCTGGCCTGTGTGGCTCATGGTGTCCTGCGTGTGTCAGCAGAATTGTGCTCTGTCGAGTGAGCCTGCCAACCAGATGGCCAGCCTTTGCCTCCTGAGGCCCTGGGTGGAGGGTTCGGATCCCCAGCCGCTTTGTGAGTCATTAAGGGCTAAGGTGTTTGTGCCTCGTGGGGACTTGGAGACCAGAAGCATGCTCTGTAGACAACTGCCTGCGTGCTGTTCTCATTGCAGTGAGAGAGGACACACCGTGGGTCACTCCCAGTATCCCCGTCCCCACTCACAGCAGCCCCGCAGCTCCAGGCTCGCGTAGTTAAGTGTGGGATGTGACTCCAAATAGTGACCCCGCACACGACAGCATGAAGCACTGCCTGGGCCGTGCCAGCCGCACCACCACTGTGTTTGTGCCCACTGTTGCAGCCACCGTGCCAATCCATCTTGTTGAAGGTCTTTCTCTTTCCTACTGACCCTCTACCAAGTGTGCTGTCCTTCTCCAGGGACTGGCCCTTCCGGATGACACCCAAAGTACATGTTGTTGTTATGTTCTGTCCAGTAGGAACCGACCCATAGCTGAACCTCTAGTGGGTTTTCAGAGGCAGCAAAACCCCATGGGAGGAGAGTGCCCATTCTTCTCCTGAGGAGGAGCTGGTGGTTTGAAAGACTCACCTTTGGGTTACCAACTGATGTGCGTCCGCACACATGTGCATGTGCTCACCAAGTTGTGCCAAGAAATCTGGAGGACAACTACTTAGCCAACTGACTGGAAGAGATTAATATTTATTCCCATTCCAAAAAAAGGTGACCCAACAGAGTGTGGAAATTATCATACAATATCACTAATATCACATGCACTAGCAAAATCCTGCTGAAGATAATTCAGAAACGACTGGAACAGTAAGTACATTGACAGAGAACTACCAGAAATACAGGCTGGGTTTAGAAGAGGTCATAGCACTAGAGACATTATTGCCAATGTCAGATGGATCTTGGCAGAAAGCAGAGAGTACCAGAAGAATGTCTGTCTGTGTTTCATTGACTATTGAAAGGTATTTGACTGTGGATCACAACAAATTGTGGCTAACCTTGAGGAAAATGGGAATCTCAGAACACTTGATCGTGCTTATAAAAAACCTATACTTGGACCAATCTCCGATTGTCTGATACAGGCCATGGTCTTTGCAATCACCTGTTATGCATCAGAGAGTTGGACAATGACCAAGGACGATAGAAGGAGAATTGATGCCTTTGAGCTGTGGTGCTGGAGAAGAGTATTGAGAATACCATGGACTGCTAGGAAAACAAACAGATTTGTCCTGGAAAGGGTTAAACCGGGTGGCTCCTTGGAGGCAAGGATTCTGAGGCTCCGTCTAACTTACTTTGGACATGTTGTGAGGAGAAACCGGTCCTTAGAGAGGGACATCATGCTTGGGAGGGTGGAGGGACAGCGCAGGAGAGGAAGGCCCTCTATAAGGTGGATTGATTCAGTGACTGGGATAATTGGGATGGGAGTGTCAGAGACAGTGCGATTGGCACAGGACAGAGCGGAGTTTAGGGCTGTTGTACATAGGGTCGCTATGAGTCGCAGGCGACTCGACGGCACATAACAACAACATACTTGGACTAAGAAGCAGTCCTTAAAATAGAGGAAGGAAACAATATATGGTTCAAAATCAAGAAAGGAGTGTGTCAGGGATGTGTCCTGTCCACGTACCTTTTCAATCTGTATGCAAAACAGATCATTCAGGAAGCAGGCCCTTATAAGGATGAGCGTAGCATCAAGATTGGAGAGAGACTCACTAACAACCTACAATATACAGATGACATAACCTTGCTTGCTGAAACTGAAGAAGACCTGAAGCACTTGCTGCAAAAGGTCAAGGACAGTAGTCGTCAATGTGGATTGAAGCTCAACATCAAGAGGACCACTGGGCCGATTGGCAGCACCATATTAAATGGAGAAGAGATTGAGGTTGTAAGCAATTACAACTTGCTCAGATCCACAACCAACACTCTTTTTTTTTTTTTTCCACAGCTGTAGAAACTGGTTTATTGACAAGAAGGCTTGCTCAGGCCAGGAGGCTCACACCCTGGCAGAGGGGCTCTGTTAGACAGCACATTCCTGCCCCCAGGCAGGAGTAGGTCCCCTCTGACCAGCTGGCCCCACCTCCTGCCATTACAACCAACACTCTTAACACCAGTAGTCAGGAAAACAAAAGACAAATTGTATTGGGAAAATCTGCTGTCATGGATCTCTCCAGAGTGCTGAAGAGCAACGATGTCAGTCTAGATACAAAGGTGCGCCTAATCCAGGCCATGGTTTTCTCAATTATTTGTTATGCTTCAGAAAGTTGGACAATGACTAAGGATGATAGAAGAAGAATAGATGCCTTTGAATTGTGGTGCTGGAGAAGAGTCTTGAACATACCATGGACTGCCAAGAAAACAAATTTGTCTGTCTTGGAGAGGGTGAAACCAAGTTTCAACTTGGAGACTAAGATTTCCAATCTCTGCCTCACTTGCTTTGGGCACATGGCCAGCAGAGATTGGTCCTTGGAGAAGGGCATCATGCTTGGAAAAGTGGATGGACAGCACAGCAGAGTGCAGGACGGACAATCTGGGTGAGAAAGACTGATAGAGTAACTGGGGCGATGGGTGTTGGTGTGTCAGAATTAGTGAGACTGGCTCAGGACAGGGAAGGGTTCAGAGCTGCTGTACATAGGGTCACTATGCATTGCAGGCGACTCAACCAATAACATTCTATGACAGGTTTGGAAGCAGGAGTGGCATCCACTTCCTAAACAACTTGCCTCTGGAAACTCTCTGAACTTTGATAAACGTCGCTAGTTGTAGAGGGGCTTCAGGCCTTTTGTCCGTATGAGTTGTGCTATGAGTGGTGCTACACTCAAAGGCAGCCAACAACAACCACCACCACCTTTGGGTTGGCAGTACAACTCCTTATTGCTAGGCCGTTGTTGTTCTTGTTGACTGCCGTCGAGTCAAACATGACTCAGTGATGCTGTGAACAAAAGACCTGAACCCTGTTCTATAACTATTGTCATTTCTCTAAGTTCATAGACTTTCCAGAGGCATGTAGTTTAGGAAGTGGATGCCACTCCTGCTTTCAAACCTGTCTTAATCTTTGAGCTCCACCAAACACCGTCCAGCAGGGGTGACCATTACAACTCCCTAATGTACAAGTGGACACCATTAACCTACACCTGTCATGGAAAGCCCCCCCCCCCGTTTCAGATAAGGATTAACTCAGAAGCCATGGCTGAAGCTGGAAGTGTCTTGGGGCTCAGTAATGTGCACACACCACACAGCAGGGGTGACTCAGGGCCAGAATTCTCGCCTGCTGTAAAGGAGACCAGGGTTTGATCCCTAGCTCATACACCTCACACTCAGCTCCCACCCGCCTGTCTCTGGAGGCCTGTGTGTTGCCAGAATGCTGAGCAAGTTTCAGTAGAACTTTCACAAGACCAAGAGAAACTCGGGAAAAAAGGCCTGGCAATCTGTTCCTGAGAACTACAGCTGTGCGATCTGAAGCCAGCCGTGCGGAAGGCAGGGGAAAGGTGGCATCTTAGGCCACTGTCTGTGAGCTGTAGATGACCTGATAGCAATAACAACTGTTGTGTAAAAGACTCAACTAAATGAAACCTGATAACGGAATGTTCTAGAAGTTTCCAGAAAATGTCTTTCTTCTCTTTAAGCCAACAGCCCCTTGTGGGCTTTCCTGCGTACTTTTGTGACTCTGTCACCTCTGAAGAAGTAGGATGAAACTGGACACACAGACACTGGACTGACATCCTGTAGAACAGAGCCAGGCCCGCTGGCTCTGGTGGATTCTGCAGACACCACTCCCTGGACACTGGTCACAGGCCCTGACTATACTCAGCTAGCCTGGCTCGGCTTCCTGCTTCATGGCAACAAGCCTGTGCACATCTTGAGCCTCCAGAAGAAAAACAAACGTGTAACCACCACCCCGCTTCCTCCTCCTCCAGATGTTTCTTAGATGCTAGAGAAACCTCCCTCCCCCCCGCCCCCACCCCAGGTAGGCAGACGTAATGGGGAGGACAGCCGCTCTCTCACCTGAAGCTCCTCCTCGGGGATGACCCCTTTCCAGGACTCGGACACATGGAGCTGAGGGTAGGAGTTGAAGAGAACCTCGATGACCGTTGGAGTGGACGCACAGGTCTGCAGCACCTGGTTGGGAGAGGTGACAGTACAGTTGAAGTGGCTGGGTTTGGAGTCCAAGGGGGGAGGTGTAGGGAGGTATTGGGGTGCACTGGTTTCTTGAAAACAAAATTCTGACAGAGCAAACTTTACCAACAAACCTCGATGTCAGATACTAGATCACTAGAGCTCCCTTCAATAAAACTAGCAATGCTAAGTTTTTGCTCTCCCAATGTGTAGGAAGCGCTGGTGGCCTGCTGGTAAGAAGCTACACTGCAGTCGCAAAGGCATGTGGTTCAAATCCACCAGAGGCTTAGCAGGAGCAGGATGGGCAGTCTCCTCCTGTGCTGTTACTGCCTCTGAAATCCAGTGGGAGGGTCAGCTGTGGGTTGGTTCCACCTCAATGGCGCACAGCAACAGCAATGTGTAGACCGGGCCTCCAGATAGGGGCCTAGGGACAAACGTGCTTCCGGTTCAGATCCACCAGCTGCTCCATGGAAAGATAGGCATTCTCCTCCTGTGCACTTTACAGCTTCTAAAAACCCCCAGGAGAGTCTGCTAGGAATCCTTCCGGCTGGACATCACATAACAACAACAGGGACAAGGTTCAGTGAAGGGAGCTCTGGTGGTGTGATCTGTAGGGAGTTGTGATGCACACCTAGGGTGGCACCTCCCTGGTGGATCAAAGCCAGCAGGACTCTGAAGAAGAAAGAAGACCATCTACCTCTCCCTCTCGTGTGATTTATGGCCTTGGAAACTCAAGGGAGGGTCAGTTAGGAGTCAGGCCTGACTCACGGCAATGGGGGAGAGAGAGAATACAGGCAAATTCTATTGAAACCCCACTGCAGCCTATAAAATGTGCAAAGGAAAATGTGTAAAATAGTGTGAGACTGACCCAAACGGGACCCAGAGACACAAAGTGAGCAAGTGTCATCTCCACTGACAGACTTGCTTGATACGGGATTGTGACCAACCTGCAATCTGTTAAAAAGAAACCAAAACAAAACCACCACCACCAAACCGAATCACACTTGTGAGACATAATAAAGTGAAAAGCACTAAAACTAGTTATGTCTGGACAGAGTTTATTCGGTTTCAGAAAAGATTTATAAACCATGGTAAAAGCCTCCAGCAAAAAGGGAAAAGACCCCATGAACAAGGCAAGCTGAGAGTTGTTATAGAAACCAAAAAAGTGCTAAAGAAGAAGGGGAAGAGAAAAAAAATATACCCACTCACTCAGCTCAGCTTAACCCAACTCAATCCAAACCAACTGGACTTCATCCAGCCCAACTCAACTTCACCCAGTGCAACTTTGTTCAACCCAACTTCACCCAATCTAACCCAACCTCACTCAACTCAACTTCAGTCAACCCAACTTCACCCGGCCCAACTCAACCTCATCCAACCCTACCCATCTTTACCCAACCTCACTCAACTCAACCTCATCCAACCCTACCCATCTTTACCCAACCTCACTCAACTCAACCTCATGCAATCCTACCCAACTTCACTCAACCCAACCTCACCCAACTCAACTTCAGTGAACCCAACTTCATCTATCCCAACTCAACCTCATCCAGCCCAACTCAATTTCACCCAACCCAACCTCACTCAACTCAACTTCATTCAGCCCAACTTCACCCAGCCCAACTTACCCAATCCTATCTAACTTTACCCAACGCAACTTCATTCAACCTGGCTTCACCAAACGCAACCCAACTTCATCCAATCCAACTTCACCCAAACCCACACAAATCCAGTCCAACCCATTATTCATCTATTTGGCACATGATTAGAACATGTAAGAAGAGGTTTTACAGAATGCCTGGACATTTAAACTTATCTACTGAAAAAGGTCTGCTTCAGGTCACCTGAGCAAGCAAGCAAACGTGCAGGCAGGAATGTCATGTGCATCCATGAGGTCTAAAGAGCTAAGAATGTCAAACAGGGGTGGTGTGGGGTAGGTAGTATCACACCTCAGCTGTTTTTGTTGTTGTTGTGCACTGTTGAATTGGATCTGACCGGCACAGAAGGAGATTGCCCCTGCTTCTCCAGCAGAGGACCTGGTGGATTCGAACTGAACGCCTTCGGGATTGCGGTGCAGCTTCTTGCCACTAGGCCATCAGAGCTCTCTACCTGCGCTGCTTTGACTTGTTAAGAACTTCATTAGACTCATGTTGTGTTGAAGAGTTGTCCCTCTAGTTTCAAATTTGACAGGAGAACTGGAGAGGCTGGGGGAGGCACAGGAAGCAGTAAGCTGATGTCAACAGCAGAGAACGATTTGGAAGAGGACAGTGAGAATGTTCACGCAGCTGGGTGAACCCAAACCACGGCGCCCTACTGTATGTGTGGATATTGAGGAAAGCATGTATATTTTCACCAGAAAAAAATCCAACAAGTCCAGAGAATAAATGACAAATTCCACAGGTTTCACCTCTGCTGTCCACCTGTTGTGCACTGAAGTGGTTTGTATGTTACTGTGGAGCTGAAGGCTGTGCTACTGAGAATTCAACACCAGTAGGGTCAGCTGTGGCGGTCAGGCCTTGTTGGAGCTTGTCGGTGAGGACAGATAAGGAAAGACTGGTAATCTACTTCTGAAAAGATTGGCCAGTGAGAATATGATTAACATCTGCAGATACTGGGAGTGTCTGGGAGATGAGCTTTTCAGGCTGGAGGGCGTTCAAGGTCAAACAGGGTGGGGAGGATGACCCTGGACCACCCAGCTTTGTTCTGTTGTCTATGGGATCACAAGAGTCCAGTTACACTGTAAGCCTGCCCTGAGGGTAAAGATGGTGTAGGATCAAGAGGAAGGGGCGTGTGAACCGGCACAAGGCGAGCTCAACAGTAGAGCCTCTGGTCGTCATCCCGTGGAGATGGACAGTGGACCAGTGCTTGCTCTGTCCTTCTTCTTGTAGAGGTGGCACCAGGACTGGGCAGGCCACCCTGCACCAGCGCAGGGAATGAGGGCCTGCTGGGAGGGAGCATGATGCAAGGCTGGCCTCCCTAACATCTCACGCAATTTTCTAACATGTCAGGGAAGAGAATTAGGGAAGAAGGATTGTTTTACTGCTAAATTTCCTCTTGACTTGGTCTTTATGTTCCATTTTCATAGTCCCCAGTGGCAAAGATTCCCATTTTCTTATTTGTAAACTTACAATTCAAGGCTGCCAGCTTCATCTTAAAGATGAGAACGGAGTCACTTCTTTCAAAGAAGCCTTTTTATTATGGAGTGTTGGAGTGTTTTTATTTTTGGTGAAAATACACACAGGAGAACTTACACATATTCAATAATTTCTACATGCACAGTTAAGTGACACTGGTTGCATCCTTCACATTGTGTCACCATTCTTGTTGTTAGGTGCCATCAAGTCGAGCAGGACTCAAAGCCATGAACAACAGACCTGACCCCTGTTCTATCCTGTGCCATCCTCATCATCTGTGATACATTGGAGTTCACTGCTGCCGTCAACATAACAAATCATCTTATCAAGGGTCTTTCTCTCTGTTGCTGATCCTCTACCTTCCCAAGCATGATATCCCTCACCAAGGAATAGCCTCTCCTAGCAACATATCCAAAGTATGAGAGATGAAGCTTCACTGTCTTTGCTTCCAAGAAGCACTCGGGCTGCATTTCCCCCAAGATGTATCTGTTTTTCTGGAAGTCCGTGGGAACCATGCTAAAGGTCCCATGTTTAGCATTGTTCTCCAGCATCACAACTCAAAGGCATCAATCTTTTTTTGTCATCCTAATTCACTGTCCATTCTCAGATGCACAGCAAGTGATTCCAAAGACCATGACCTGAGTCAGGCACACCTTAGTCTCCAAACTGACATTATTGCTCTCTGGTATTTTGGAGAAGTCCACAGTCCACAGTCCACTGACACTGAAAGCAATACGTCTCCTGGTCTCCTGAGTGCTGCTACTGAGGTTGCTGATTGTGGACCCAAGTAAGATGAAATCACTGACAGTTTCAGTCCTTTCTCCTTCTACCATGATGTTGCCCACTGGCCCAGAGAACCTTTGTTCTCTTGATGTCGAGATGTAATCTTCTGCAGCAAGTATTTCAGGTCCTCTTCACTTTCAGCAAGCAAGTTTGTGCCATCTGCTTATCGCAGGTTGTTGAAGAGTCTTTCTCCTACCACGATGTCTATTCCTTGTCATAGAGTCCAGCTTCACAAATTATTTGCTCAGGAGATCTGGTGGCCTAGTGGTAAGAAGCCGTACTGTAATCCCAAAGGCACACAGTTCAAATCTACCAGCTGCTCCACTGGAGAAGGACGGGAAATCTCCTCCTCCTCCTCATGATAAAAAAAAGAAAAAAAAATGATCAAAATGTTCAGTAATCTTAGCAGGGGACCACCCCACAGTGCAGGTCTCAGGGGAAGGTCGACAAGAGTTAATGGTCTGGACTGTTCCCATGGACACAGACATAGATAGGAGAGTGACAAAGCCCCCATATTCACCAATAACTGTGGCCAATCCGGCCCCACCTGGACCCTCATTCATTTTGCACAATACTATTGAAAGCAAATTCTGTGTTCTCTATCATTCATTTATATCAGTGCATCTGTTAAAAATAAAACATGACCCAGTGCGTGCTGGTTCTGCCTCAGGGTGACCTGCCCACTGGGCTTCAAGGTACCAAACCTTCACTTAAAAATTGAACAGTAGTTTCTTGATACCACCTGATACATAATGGGGGGGCTCTGGTGACGTAGCCCACAGACAGCTTGCTGGAAACCCAAAGCACGTGCCTCCTGGAAGATTCCAATCTACCAGCCGCTTCTCAGGAGAAAAATGAGCAATTTCCTCCTGTGTGACTGACAGCCTTGGGATCCTGCTGAAGGGCCAGTTTCCACTTGCTGGCAATGAGTTATGAATTTGCATATATAATCAGTCCTGGGATTCACAAACATATCTTAAATGCTATTATGTGTAGTCCCCAGGTTATGAATGAGGTCACTTCCTGGGCCTGTGTGAGTAGTTTATTGGGCTGTTAACTCGAAGATCAGCTGTTCAAAACCGCCAG